AGTTAGTCACTTTCCTTACTGTAACTTTAAGTTGTCTAAAACTGTACATACAGAACCAGAAAACAAGTAAAAAGTAAAGTCGCACAAAATTTTTTAAAAAGCTCATCCTTTTTTTGTCCATTTTTGGAAATTCATTAACATGTGTCTAGCGACAATCCATCTTACCATCATAAAATTATTCCACATCAATTAAAAAACAAACCATTCGATCATAAGTGAGAAATATTTTAAAAATCGTCTCAAGAATTTTAAAACCTTTCAGAATCAATCTCATACAGGGACCGAAATAAACGGTCCATTTCATTTTGTGAAAACTGAAAGATACGATAACAAAGGGGAGTAAATACAAAGCTATCTACAAAATAAAGTGCATTAATTGAAGGAAGCATATCATACATAAGTGAATGCCCCATTCGCTCACATATACATGAACATAATTGATCAGTTAAACGACATAATATGTAGTCACTTACATCAATTCAAGAGAATAATTACAAAGGACAAATTGATTGGGAAAAGTATCAAGATTTTGAATTGAGGAATAAACAAAGTCAGGAAATTTCTAGTGGCATAATATTTAAGTTCAATCTGCAATCAGCAAATATACGGACGTAGATTGAATCTAGAAACAAATGAGCGTGAATATTCGATCAAATGGAGTTAAAATATAAGTCTAATAAACCGATTAACATGAAACCGTTGGAGATAACCAACAACAAACAAAAACCTCAAGACTTTCTGTTGAATAATTATAAAAATCTCATTTATACTTGAATTAGGTATTATTGATGTTCAGAAAGCCTAGCAACTAAACAAATCAGGATGTAAAACGTAACGCCACTAAAAACGCTCACATTCCCTACAAATTATTTTACCATTTCTAAGAAAAAAATACGACGAAAGTTAAGACTTACAAGTGTGGATTTAATGTTTGTCGAATAATTTCTGTCTCTGGTGATTGAGATACAACATTTGATTTTTGTATATTTATACCATTGTTAGAAATAAATGAGTTTAAAAGCTGTAATTTTTTATGAGAAGCTGAATTTGGTAAAGATTGGATAGGTGATTCTGGAAAACCTACATAATCAAAATCTGGATGATAAGAAGTTGTCAATGAACAACTTGAAGTAGTAGGAATAGTTTTAATGTCCAAATCAATAAAATCATCTGCTAACGTATTTACGTCTATTTGGTCATATAAATTATTGAATGAGACGGAATGATTGGTTACTTTTTTGGACGATGATGACAATGTTCTTGAAAAAGATGATGAAGGAACCAGTTCATTAGGTGTTGTTTCTATCATATCAGTTTTAGTAGAATGTATTAATTGAGGTTGAATTGATGAACCATTCATATAATGTGAACAAGATTCTAATGTTAAAAATGATGTGGACAATTGATCAGTAACGGAATTATGATTGTATGAATATGTTGTTGTATCACTACTACTGTTACTGTTACTAAAGTTACTTTCAGTGATGGTAATAGTTTTGCTACCATTATTAACATCATTCAAATTGTTGTACGTAACTGGAGTAAAACTACTGCCACATCCGACATTTGATGAACTTTGTACACGCGATAATTCATCACCGAGTGGTGGTGAGATGGGAAATAACTCCCAGTCATAATCATTTCCTTCTATAATTTTTTTACGAAAAACATATATATATATATATATATATATATATATATATATATATATATATATATATATATATATATATATATATATATATATATTATTTTCATGCATTATTATTATGACCGAAAATGCAGAAAAAACGAATAAGTTAATTAGTGCTTAGTCTGTAATAGACAACCAAATTGAAGAAACTCGGGTAGTTAAGCTCCTCACCTAAATAAAACTTTCAGTGAAAAGACTAGACTAAGTAGCTAAAGATCGTGTACATAGGCCCCGGGTTTCCTTTCCTATACACAAGGTTGGTTGTGGCCTCAATAAGTAAACGGTAACATTGTAAAGTGTGATCGATAAACGAACTCACTAATGATAAAGTGAAACACCCACCATCACATTAGCTTTCTTCGACCTTGTATGGCTATGTCTTGTTTATTCACTAATCACAATTTTATGTTCATTATAAAACAATATTTGCCTTGTTGACTCATTTTTCCTATCCTCTAGTCACTGTTCGGTATGTTATTTATGTCTCTGTTCTTCCCTGTGTTAATAAACTGTACTGTTTATTTTGTAGACTAACGGTGTTAACTTATGTTTTAGAAACAGATGCCCCCAAATGCCCTGGTACGGCCGAGAATGAACAGAGTCAACTCTCTCTCTCTCTCTCTCGAAATACTCTCACACAGCCAGCGTATACAGCCTCTGCCAAGGAACTACTACCCATTTCCCTCTCGTGGCGGGGGTGTTGTTTACGGAAATGAGAGGACGAAAAGCGAATGTCCGGCGCTTTAACCGGATCCCAAACTAACGGTGCACATGGGCTCCAGTATCCTGCGGGAACAAATGGCGTATGAAACAATCGTTGGTCACCGGCTACCATGAGACTGCATCTCCTTACGATGCTCCACTGCCTTGTGGGTTAGACCTTTAGGTCAAAGGCTCCAGGTGTGGCCCCCTAAGATAACCACCTGCTTCGGTCTGGGCACTCGGGCAGTATCGCAGCCCACACGCAAATAATGGACTCTCTATATCTATGGAAACTACTTTTCTCGCTTCGAATAACAATCAAATGATTATTATTACTATTATTATTATTATTATTATTATTATTATTATTATTATTATTATTATTATTATTATTACTATTATGATTATCATTATTATTATTATTTACCACATTATTCACCCTCTTTTATACTTATACAGCGGCTCGTCTTTGGTGGAAATTCGACTGTATCTAAACGTTCTCGAGTCACTGTCCGGTTGAAAATTGTATGTTACCACTGAATATGAATACTGAAGCAGTTTTTCTGAAACCACGTGCACCATTCAAACTGGCTGCCTTCAACGTTCGCACACTTATGCAGGTCAGACAACAGATAGGGCTGGCTATGTCTTTGGAAAGTCTTAATATTGATGTCTGCTGTCTATCCGAGACCCGTATTCAAGACTCTGGTGAAGTACTGCAGATTCGCTCTCGATCTGTCGCTTCGAAAAGCTTGTTTTACGTGCGCTTATCCGGGGACGCTGTGGCATCTTCGTCTGGTCTTGTTAACGTTGGTGTCGCACTGAGCGCTAGAGCTGAGGCAGCACTAATCGATTGGATCCCCATTAACAGTCGGTTATGTGCTGCTAGATTAGATAGTTCCATCAAAGTGGGAAGAAATCGGTATGGGAAACGATATCTTTTCGTCATCTCCGCCTATGCCCCGACAGATGGCAGCCCAGATGCAATCAAGGATAAGTTTTACCACCAGTTAACTGTTCTTCTCCAGAAAGTGCGTTCGACAGATACTGTAGTACTAGCCGGAGACTTGAATGCTCAGATCGGGCGTCTAGGCACGGAAGAGAGTCGTTTAGGTGGCCGATGGGGACTTGTTGGTCGCAGGTCAGATAACGGGGACCGTCTACTGCAACTATGCACAGACCACAACCTGTTTCTGGCTAGCACTAACTTTCGGCACAGTCATCGCCGATGTGCTACCTGGCGTCCCCTTTCTGCATCTCAAGCCTGGACTCAGATTGATCACATCGCGATCAGCTACCGCTAGCGTGGTTGTGTACAAGACTGCCACTCCTTTCGGAGTACCTATCTGGACTCTGACCATGCCCTGGTCTGCGCCAATCTTACCTTACTTTTCAGTGGACAACGAAGTGACCGCCACCAACGGATTGATGTTAGCAAGCTGGTTGCAACTTCTGTTGCCAGTAAGTATCGAACCGAGTAGCTTCTAGACTAGCTGCCACTCCATCGCGAAGTATAGATGAACATTGGTTGCAATTGCATGACGCCATGAAAAGGGCGGGTACAGTCAGTTGTAGGTTCGCGAAGGGCAGTTCAACTGGCCTGCTGCTCCGGCAACATCAGTCAAACTGTCCTGCCCTTCATGGCCGGTGACAATTGATCCACCAAATGAGGCGGAAGTCCGCAAGGAACTCCAACTCTTGAAACGCTGCAAATCACCTGGCCCAGATGACTTACCTCCGGCTCTTTTTAAAGATGGTGGTGACTTTCTGACTAAGGAGTTGACGACGTTGTTTACAAAGGTTTGGGAGCTAGAGAGTGTACCAACGTCATGGAATGAGTCGATAGTTATCCCTATTTTTACAAAGGGTTCACGTCGTTCCTGTAACATCTATCGGGGGATAAGTCTACTTCCGACTGCGTCCAAGCTATTGGCTTCCGTCATACTTCGTAGGCTGTTCAAAACCCGAGAAAGATTGACTCGCGAGGAGCAGACTGGTTTTCGTTCTGGTCGAGGGTGTATTGATCATATCTTCACCCTCCACCAAATGTTAGAACACCGCCATACTTATCACAGGCCAACAATCGTAGTGTTTCTTGACATCAGGGCTGCCTTCGATTCGTTGGATAGGACTGTTCTCTGGGATTGTTTATTGAAGAAGGGTGTGCCTGAGAAGTTTATTAACATCCTAAAAGCCCTATATACAAACACCTCAGGCAGAGTGAGGGCATACAACCACCTCTCTCCATTGTTCCATTCGAGCAGTGGGGTTAGGCAGGGATGCCCAATCTCACCATTCCTCTTCAACTTTGCCATCGATAACATTCTGGAAACAGTTCTGATAGATGTAAGTAATGACGGCGTAGATCTGTTGCTTGGAGAAAGACTTCTCGACCTTGAGTATGCGGACGATATTGTCTTACTGTGGGATAATGCCCAAGGCATTCAATCCGCACTTAATCAGTTGGCAATCAGTGTTCGTAGGTATGGTATGTGCTTTGCATCTTCGAAGTGCAAAGTACTTCTACAAGACTGGCAGGATTCCAATCCTGTACTCACCCTGGATGGTGAGCAGATAGAAGTAGTCGAGAAGTTCGTGTATCTGGGTAGTTGCATAAGTGCTGGTGGGGGCGTGAGTGATGAGATCAATGCCCGTATAGTGAGAGCCAGAGCGGCTTATGCCAATCTGGGCCATCTCTGGAGCCTTCGTGATGTTAGTCTGGCTGCAAAAGGTCGGATCTACAACGCGTCTGTGAGAGCAGTCTTGCTCTATGCTTGTGAAACCTGGCCTCCGAGTTGAGGACGTTAGACGACTCTCTGTGTTCGATCATCGTTGTCTCCGAAGGATTGCTGACATCCAGTGGCAACATCATGTTAGTAATGCAGAGGTTCGGCATCGTGTGTTCGGGTACAGAGACGATAATGCAATTGGTGTCACCATCCTGAAACACCGATTTCGGTGGGTTGGACATGTCCTACGAATGTCGTCCCAGAGAATTCCACGTCGTGCATTATTTGCCGACTCTGGAACTGGTTGGAAGAAGCGGAGAGGTGGTCAGTGTATGACATGGTGTCGTGGTATGAAAGAAAGCTGCAATGAGCTGGCTTGTGTTGGTCCTTCACGCTGTATCTGGGGTCCGAAAGATGATGTAACACAGTGGCTAGAGACGTTATCAGATATGGCTCCGAATAGAAGCCAGTTGCGATCATGCTATAACCTTCTTTTACTTTCTTCATAAAAAGTGGTTGTATCTTCCTTAACTGAAAGATTTCTTCTGATTGTACCTTTCCGTTGCCTCATTATTACTATGATTATTACTACACTACCTTACACCAACCTCTTCGTTATTGTTCCTTTTTTTCACGCTCCTTATATTTTTTTCTTCTTTCTCTTCAAATTCTCATTGTTTTGTGTGGCGCATATATATTGGCGCTCTCTTGTACCAATATTTATGTTTAAATAAATAAATTAGAAACAGATAAAGTTTATCAAACCAAATAGGTTACTTGTTCTGACTTTGGCTAAACCAGGACTCTGTGCTCGACAGTCTAGAGAACAGCTTAGAGTTACACATGTAGGAAATTGCTTCTTACAACATCTCTGACTGTAAAGCTTTGTGAGACGGGAATGAATTTGTTAGGGAGCATTACATGTACTCAAATAGAATAGCTTTGGTGAACATAAGTCAATTACTTAGTACAGGATTATGTACTCAGACACAAGTCGGACAGATTATATGGACATTAGTGAGACTACCCTGTCGCCCATTCCGAAGTAGAAAGAGTAGGGTTTGATTTATGAGCCTAGTCGTTGAAAATAGGATAGTTTAACAATGAAGTCGTCTTATCTAAAGATATTTATTCAGATGTGGAACCGGATAAGAATCTGCTAAGAACTACTAACCTATACTTTGTTTTAACTAAACTTGTATTGATTTTTAAACTGACGTCCCATTTTATTAAACGTACTTATTTTTGAAGATAATTTGAAATAAAGACTATTTTTAACTAGCCAAAAGTTATAAATCTAAAAACAATTGATAGCTTTTTGCTTTAGTATGGGACTCCACAGCGAAGGGCACGCACGTTTCTAAATTCAGTCAATTTGATTATAGTGAACGACTATCATCCATTATCATAGGCAATATCCACCTGATTACCGATGTTGCTGAACTGCAAAGGTAACCACTTATTACTAGAAATTAAGGAATGCTTTTAAAAGTTAGTCACTTGTGAGTTTTAAAAACTACCAAGCTTATAAATGTGAGCTAAAACAAGGCTTAAGGTTGCGCTTCAAAATAATTTTATCTCTGTACATATATATGCTGTTCAGCAAATATACTGAAACGTAACTATGTCAACCAGAAAGCCTAAAATGTCAAAATAATGAATAATATTTCGATCATTAAAAAGGGGGGGAAATTAACTAACCTTTAGACCAAACGAGGAGTTCTTCACTAGACACGGAAGATTGAGAGGGTGAATGTAAACGACGTACGATAGATCCAGTTAAGTTCCCATCACTATCCGGTTTATTAGAATTGATCAGGGCCATAAGTTAACGTTTGCAGTTTCCATTAATTTAAAATACTAATACAAGTGGGAAAATATTAATCTATGCGGGTAGAAAAATTTCGAAATACATGACGAGAACACGATAGCATGTATCCGGAAACTAAGAATTTTGAAAAGATATTGGAGAATAAAACCTGTACTAGAACACAAATATTAAGCTAAAGAAGTTTCTAAAGTTTGCAAGGATATTTGAAAGCCGCCTATACTTATTACTATCTAGATGACAAACACGTTTCACGTCTTCTCAGTATATCGGGGACAGCCTTTAGAATTCCTTTCACTGTATGGGTGCTTTACATTTTAGACGATGGTTCACCAAAGACAGCGCTGTCGAGTTTTAGGAAAACTTTGGTAATTCACGGAGAAATACGTACTGAGTAAGGATTCTTCATATTATTATTATGTTTATTTGAAAACCTCGGATTGATGGGTGGACAGTACAAAAGAAGCATTCAATAACGCCCCCAAATGCCCTGGTACGGCCGACAATGAACAGAGTCAACTCTCTCTCTCTTTAAATGCTCTTACATGGCCTCGTGCATTCAACCACTGCCAGGGAAGTTCTACTCACTGCCTTCTGACACCACGGGTGTTGTTTACGAAAATGAGAGGACGAAAAGCGAATGTCCGGCGCTTTAACCTGGTTAGTGGACACGGAGAGTCCACCTAGGAGAGTTGGAAAACCCTGATTCCAAACCAATGGTGCACATGGGTTCCAGGATCCTAAGTTAACAAATGGCGTATGAACCAAACATTGGCCACCGGCTACCATGAGACTGCATCTCCTGACGTTGTTCCACTGCCCTGTGGATTAGATCTCTAGGTCGAAGGCTCGGGGAGTGGCCCCCTAAGAAAACCACCTGCTTCGGTTTGGGCATCCGGGCAGTATCCTAGCCCTCACACAGACCGAATGATTTATCTATTTGGTGCCTTCTTGTACCTAGGTTTATGTGTTTAAATAAATAAATAAGCACGCTGACAATACTCTGTAAAAAGTGGCATACACTGAGAGGAGTGCAAATGATGGTACTATGAAGCTTGCACGGATCTAACGCCTGCTGCTTTTAAACGGTTTAGTAAAAATGGTTACGTGTGGTTGTGTCAGCAGTGCTGCTTATACACAAACAGCTTGCTATCCGAAGTCATTACAGTGGTGAGTGAGTATTAGTAAGCGTAGTCGAAACACATTAGACGGTACTCGCTCGGTCGATACATGAATTGATGCGAAGTTACCTCAATTAAACTCAGAATCGATTGAATTACTTGGGCCAAAGCAGGAAAAACCGAGTTCAAAGGTCTGTCATAAGTAAAAGCTCAGGAAAAAAAGTTTCTTCTGCCCCACGTCCCCCAAATGACAGGTAGCAGGAAACACTTAAAAGACCTAATCGTAAGGCTAGGTTTGTTTATAGCAGCAAAAACGAAAACCTGACAACTCAAGTCATCGACAATCATCTTGGATCCCATAGCGTGTGACACGATTGTGTTTGCTACTTCAACGAAAGCTGACGAGTGCGTACAGATAGAGAATAAGAAACGACATGTTACCAAAGGGAAGTCAGTCTCTCAAAAAGTAGCTGGGAAATCGAAGACTGATCATAGTGACAAGTCAGCTATTTTTTATAGAGTCAAGGAGAATGGGAGCTCAGAACCCAGAACTCGTTTTGAACATGACGTTGTATTGATAAAAGATCTACTTAACTAGCTAATGCCTCAAGATATCTCTGGAGCGACATTACTGAAAGTTTCTAGACTGAGTAGCCAAATGAACTCGAAAAGAATTCAGACCGGTCTGCTAAAAGTAGTATTTGAATTTCCCTATGAAAGTAACTCAATTCTACAAAATGGACATAAACTAAAGGGGTCAGGGGTCTTGTCTGCTCGTGAACCGTATAAAAGGACGAGAAGCTGGAAAAAAAACTAAAAATAAGGTTAAACACTGGCGAGAAACACGTGAGAATTGCAATTTTTCGGGTGGCGAGGCTTCAACAGATAATGATCTTGAAGCCACTCTGGCTGCAGCACGATGCCATTTAAATAGGCTTCAAATCTGATACACAAATGCCCAGAGCTTGTTCAACAAGCTATTGGAGATAGGTATGCAGATAGACTCTAGCAAGTCGGATGTAATCGCCATCACAGAAATTTAGGTGACTCAGTTTGAAGACAGTGGGGAACTTGATTTTGAAAGTTCCACATTAGTAAGAGCCGACAGAACACATAGTCTTAAAGAATAAGTAGTTCAATTCATTAGGAATACTTTCTCATTTACCATTATTGATAACATATCCCAAAAAGTGGGACATGCGAATTAGCTAGTTGCCACTTGAAAAGCAAAGGATAAGAGCTACTAAATGGTTTGCTCTACCGCAGTTCAAACTGTGAGTTGAATGAGATCTTATTGAACGATCTCAGTACTTGGTCTTCGAGTGGTGGATGTTTAGTTTTAGGAGACTTTGATGGACCTATGGTATACTGGGAAATTCTGAGGACTGAGTTATCAAAAAATTCTTTCGAACAAAAGCTAACTGACATGGTTATTACATACGCCCCAGTGCAAGGTGTATACTGTAGAGAAGCCCTATCCTGTTCATACAAATGAGGTATGGCAACTTGGACCGATGCATATATGTGCCTAGTCCTACGTTGTAGCTGACTGACTGACTGACATACAAACCCTCAACCTATGCAAATCCGTTTACTTAGGTTTGCTAAATAAGCTTCATATAGGTAAATCCATGGAACCCGATGAAATGAAGTCTAGTTTACCACAGGAATTAGAAAATCCCTTAAGGATATGTTTTAAATCTATCTGCAGCTCAAGGTAGATTGCCAAAAGACTGGAAAACACTATAGTTAGTACTGTCTTCCGAAACAGGTGTGAGACACAAACCTGGGAAATTTCGACCCATAGAGTGGTTGTTTAAGTTTTAAAAAAGATATCTAAACGAAAACCAGATCCTTTCTGAAAATCAACATGGATTTAGAACATACTATTCATGTCTCACAAATTATAAGTGACCTGAAAAAGTTGATGCGCTTATAATGACCAAAGCTACCTAACAATGCAACCTACATTGACTTCAGTAAGGGCTTTGAGAAAGCTCCTCACAACCGGCTGCTATCAAAGTTAAGTGATATCGGGATCGGAGTCAACTTATTTATGCGGATAAGGGAATATCTAGTTCAGAGTTAACAAAGAGTACGGACAAACCTCAAATTGTCTAGCTGGTAAACTGTGCCTAGTGGAGTGTCTCAGGGTACAGACTTGGAGCCAGTGTTATTCCTCCTGTATGTAAATAACCTTAGTTTCACAACATCATCCATTCTGTTATATACTGACAATATCAGGATATGGAGAACAATAAAAAAAAAACGAATACGATAGTTTAGTGTTTCAAAATGACCTGTAGAAACTAGCTGAATAGTTTAGAATTTGTCAGTCGCTGACAAACGCATCCACGTGCATTGTGATGCACGTTGGTCACCATGATACAGATATCCCGACCGTTGTTGCTACCGTGACGTGGTGATCGGGCTTGCCTATCGTGATGAAGCAACCGAGCTACACTGGCTGGAACAACTGTTACTCAAGGTCCTACCATTTCAGACAGGTCGGTTGAAGAGCGGTAAGACTAAAAGCAACAAACCCAAGGTCCGAAGGCGAAGTCGTACTGCTGACTGTACAGAGGTGTGACATCAGTAAGGTGTTTCCTTCAGACAACCAGCATGACAGCGATGCTGCCTTCCCACAAGGAGGGGCAGGGTTAGAAAAGGTCGACCCTAAAAATGCGCACCTCACCTTACCTCACGGATTTCCGTCTCCGGCGGTAAGGCCATTTGA